CTCAGCCTCAGCCTCAGCCTGCCTCGGCCTCAGCCTGCCTCAGCCTCAGCCTCAGCCTGCCTCAGCCGCAGCTTGCCTCAGCCTCAGCCACAGCCTCAGCCTCAGCCTCAGCCTGCCTCAGCTTCAGCCTCAGCCTCAGCCTGCCTCAGCTTCAGCCTCGGCCTCAGCCTGCCTCAGCCGCAGCCTCATCCTGCCTCGGCCTCAGCCTCAGCCTCAACGTCAATCTCTCAGCCTCAGCCTGCATCAGCCCTAGCCTCAGCCTCAGCCTGCCTCAGCCTCAGTCTCAGCCTGCCTCAGCCTCAGCCTGCCTCAGCCTCAACTTCAGCATGCCTCGGCCTCAGCCTGCGTTAGCCTCAGCCTCAGCCTGCCTCAGCCGCAGCAGCCCCGGCCTCAGCCTCAGCCTGCCTCGGCGTGCCTCAGCCTCAGCCTCAGCCTGCCTCGGCCTCAGCCTGCCTCGGCCTCAGCCTGCCTCAGCTCGGGCATTCAATTATCCCGGCAAAGCAACCGAACAGCGATGTGTATAAGCATATCTGGAAGCATTCCCCTTAAGATTTAGGTGAGAATCCAATTGTAGAATTCTGCTGTTCTCGCAGTCGCAGTCGCATTCGCAATGACAGTCGCAGTGGCAACGGCCTTAGGATCCAATGGAATCCTAAGGATCCCTAGGGATTCCTAAGGCATCCTTAGGCATCCTTAGGAATCCATAGGAATCCTTAGGATTCCCTAGGAATCCTTAGGAATCCTGATTCCGAGGGATTCCTAGGGATTCCTAAGGATTCCTAGGGAATCCCAACGATTCCGAAGGATTCGCCTGCCTCGGCCTCAGCCTCAGGCTGCCTCAGCCTCAGCCTGCCCCCGCCTCAGCCTCGGCCTGTCTCAGCCTCAGCCTGCCTCAGCATCAGCCTCAGCCTCAGCCTCAGCCTGCCTCCTCGGCTTGCCTCGGCCTCAGCCTGCATCAGCCTCAGCCTCAGCCTCAGCCTGCCTCAGCCTCAGCCTCAGCCTGCCCCAGCCTCAGCCTGCATCCGCCTCAGCCTCAGCCTGCCTCAGCCGCAGCTTGCCTCAGCCTCAGCCACAGCCTCAGCCTCAGCCTCAGCCTGCCTCAGCCTCAGCCTCAGCCTCAGCCTCAGCCTGCCTCAGGCTCAGCCTGCCTCAGCCTCAGCCTGCCTCGGCCTCAGCCTCAGCCTCAGCCTGCCTCAGCCTCAGCGTCAGCCTCTCAGCCTCAGCCTGCATCAGCCTCAGCCTCAGCCTCAGCCTGCCTCAGCCTCAGCCTCAGCCTGCCTCAGCCTCAGCCGCATCAGCCTCAGCCTCAGCCTCAGCCTGCCTCAGCCTCAGCCTGCCTCAGCCTCAGCCTCAGCCTGCCTCAGCCTCAGCCTCAGCCTGCAGCCTCAGCCTCAGCCTGCCTCAGCCTCGGCCTCAGCCTCAGCCTGCCTCAGCCTCAGCCTGCTCAGCCTCAGCCAGCCTCAGCCTGCCTCAGCCAGCCTGCAGCCTCAGCCTCAGCCTCCTCAGCCTCAGCCTCAGCCTCAGCCTCAGCCTCAGCCTGCCTGCCTCAGCCTCAGCCTGCCTCAGCCTCAGCCTGCCTCAGCCTCAGCCTGCCTCAGGCCTCAGCCTCAGCCTCAGCCCAGCCTCTCAGCCTCAGCCTGCCTCAGCATCAGCCTCGCCTCAGCCTGCCTCAGCCTGCAGCCTCTGCCTCAGCCTGCCTCGGCCTCAGCCTCAGCCTGCCTCAGCCTCAGCCTCAGCCTGCCTCAGCCTCAGCCTGCATCAGCCTCAGCCTCAGCCTGTCTCAGCCGCAGCTTGCCTCAGCCTCAGCCTCAGCCGCAGCCTCAGCCTCGACTTGCCTCAGCTTCAGCCTCAGCCTCAGCCTGCCTCGGCTTGCCTTAGCCTCAGCCTCAGCCTGCCTCGGCCTCGGCCTCAGCCTCAGCTGTCTCAGATTCAGCGTCAATCTCTCAGCCTCAGCCTGCATCAGCCCTAGCCTCAGCCTCAGCCTGCCTCAGCCTGAGTCTCAGCCTGCCTCAGCCTTAGCCTGCCTCAGCCTCAACTTCAGCCTGCCTCGGCCTCAGGCTGCGTCAGCCTCAGCCTCAGCCTGCCTCAGCCTCAGCCTGCCTCAGCCTCATCCTGCCTCAGCCTCAGCCTCAGCCTGCCTCGGCGTGCCTCAGTCTCAGCCTCAGCCTGCCTCTGCCTCAGCCTGCCTCAGCTCGGGCATTCAAAATATGGCACATGACTGGTGTTCTGGAAACACGAAAATCACGAAGTGGCCCAGAGATGGCTCCGGGCAATCAAAATATGGTACAAGAATTGTGTTCTGGGAAACCGAAGAACATGAAGTGGCCCACAGTTGGCTCCGGGCATTCAAAATGTGGCCTGGGAATGGTTTTCTGGGAACACGAAGAACACGAAGTGGCCTGCAGTTGCCTCTGGGCATTCAAAATGTGGCCTGGGAATGGTGTTCTGGGAACACGAAGAACACGAAGTGGCCTACAGTTGGCTCCGGGCATTCAAAATGTGGCCTGGGAATGGTTTTCTGGGAACACGAAGAACACGAAGTGGCCTACGTTTGGCTCTGGGCATTCAGAATGTGGCCTGGGAATGGTGTTCTGGGAACACGAAGAACACGCAATGGCCTACAGGTGGCTCTGGGCTTTCAAAATATGGCCTGGGAGTGGTGTTCTGGGAATGGATTCCTAAGGATTCATCCGGATTCCTGATAATTCCTAACGATTCCTGGGGCTGACCCTTTTGTCCGGATCTGTCCGGATCACGTCCGACCCCCCTGGGGCGTCAAGATGCTTTCATTTGACTCCACTAGAAGCCTATCAGCAAAAGCTGTTAAGTAAAAACGCACTAATAAGGATTCTTGCGTAAAGACCTTTACTCTTAATTTCTGGATAAATATTCCTAAATCAAGATTCCGTCGTAAAGATTCCTGAATCACTTCCTTACTAAAAACTTGTAAGAAGTATGGCGCAGGAAGGAATCCTTAGTACATATTTAATCAAGCTTCCTGCATAAAGATTCATTCGTGAGGGTTCTGTACTAAGGACCCCTCGATAAGGATCCCTCAATAAGAAAGCCGTAAGGGTTTCCGCACTAAGGATTCCTCAGTCAGGATCCCTTAGTGAGAACACTAGATTGCTCCATAAGGATTCCTTACTAAGGGCTCTTTATGCAAGATTCCTTTCCGAGGACCTGAACGAGGAGTCCGTAGTAAGGACTCCTTGCTAAGGATTCCTTCATAAAGATTCCAGAATACGTATTCTTCACTCAGGATTCCTGCTTGCAAATTCCTTAGTGGGGATTCCGTCGCAAACCCTCCTGCATCATGCATAATGTCCTTAACAAGGATTCCTTGGCATGGCTTCCTCAGAAAGATTCCTTAATGCAGATTCCCTACTGAGGGTTCTGTATGAAGGATTCCTTAATAAAGATTCTGCACTAAGAGCTCCATGTTAAGGATTCCGTGCTGAGGCTTCCTTTCGAAAGGATTCCTCGGTAAGGACTCATTTTAACAGCGCCAAAGTGAGGATTCCTTGCGGAGGATTGCCTCATCAGAATTTCTGATCAAGGATTTTTTATAAGGATCCCTCAATCAAGATTTTGAAATAAAGACTCCTTACTACAGATGGTTCCTTAGTAAGGGCTCCTCAATAAGGATTCCGTTGCAAAGAGTCTGTACTCGGGATTCCTTACTGAGGATTCCTCAAGGAGGATGCCGTCGCAAATATTCCCGCCGACCATCCTCAACAAGAGTTCCTTGGCAAGGATTCCCCAGGCGGGATTCCTTAATGCAGGTTCCTTGGATTTCTGAATCGGGATTCTGCACAAAGGATTCCTTAGTAAGGACTCCTTGGTAAGAACTCCACATTAAGGATTCCGCACTAAAGATTCCTGAATGTGGATTCCTTAATAAGGATTCTTAGAAAAAAGAACTCCATAGTACGTAAGGATTCCTCACGAAAAATTGCTTCATAAGGAATCCTTATGAAGGGGCTCTGCATCCAGGAGTCCTTGTGAAGGATCTCTGAAAACGGATTCCTTAATACCGGTTCCTCAGTAAAGACTCCTTAATACAGATTCCGTTTTGAGGGTTCATTGCAGAGGATTCCGTTATGTGGCTTCCTCGCTAAGGATTCCGCCGTCAAGATTATTTTAAAGGTCTTTAATCCATATTTCGTAACAGGGATGCCTTTTTAAAAAGATCCCTTAGCAAATATTCCATACTACGGATTCCTTCATAATGGATCCTTAATAAGGGCTTTGCTCTGAGGACCCTTTACTTGGAATTCCTCGGTGGGAATTCAACATTGGGGATTCCTCACGAAGGATTGCTGGAGAAGGAGTCCTTGCTAAGGATTATTTAGTCAGGATTCCTCGGAAGGATTTTGCATAAAATCATGCCTTAATAATGATTCCTGAATAAAGACTCTTTGCAACAAGCTCCTTCGTAAATATTCCTCGCTATGGATTCAGTTTAAACAAATCTTTCATACGAATTCCTCAATAAGGATTCCTTACTGAAAACTCCTTACTAAGGATTCCGGAATAATCATTCTATAACAAAGATTCCTTACTAAAGGTTCATGTATATACATATGCCTTAATGGGGATTCCTTACTCCAGATTCCTTTGTGGAGATCCCTCAATACATATTCCCCAATCAGAGCTTGCCTCTGTAGGGGTCCTACGGATTCATATGGTTATGTTAGCGTTGGCCGCCGATTTTCGCTGCGCGCCTGGGTGCCAGTTGCCCTGGGGTGCCCGGGGGTAAGGTTGACCGCCGATTTTCGCTGCGCGCCCGGGTGCCCGGGAGGTGCCCCGGGATGCCTGGGTGCCCGGGTGCCCAGGCGTGCCCAGGGGTACCCTATAGCCCTGTAGCCCAATAGCCCAATAGCCCTATAGCCCTACAACTCTATAGCCATATAGCTCTATAGCCCTATAGCCCCCTAGCCCTGATTGGGGTTGTTCTCCGAAATCATTCCTTTTTGTAAATTCTTTAATACATAATTGGGCGAATCAGGCCCCATGGCGAGTATTCCTTTCTTCGATGAAATCGGGATTGAGCCGGAGTGGCCAGGGCCCACCTCAGCTCCCGTCTTCATCCTCGCACGCGCGGCAATCCCCCACCCCGTTCTTGGGGGTTAAGCGGGGCAGGCGCCCTTAACACCCCCCCCCACCCCGCCCCGCCGGCAGTGGCCTACAGCATCTTGCAGGGCTGGGGATCGTGCCATACGAGGCTCATCACAAGTTGCGGGAAGAGGGGAACAAAAAACTCTACTTCGCCATGTGCTTGCGCAGGGGGGTTTGCAGAGGACGGGGAGGAAGAGTACGGATCGAAGCAGGACGACATGAATGGGAATAGGCTCCATGCACCATGCGCAAACAAATCAGGTGCCCAGCCCTGTGGGCATACCGCGATCTCCAACGCGGGCGCCATTGCACAACCGACGGCCGTAGCGATACCAGTAGAAGCATGGAAACACGAGCGCAGCTATCGAATTTGACGGGACGCGCATGTGTTTCCACACCTGCATTTTGAACGGAAAATGCCGCTGGCGGTGACAACCCGCGTCTGCACGCTGCCTTAGGAATCTAAATGAGCTATTCGCCCGCACATACGATCATGCAGGTACAGAGACACCGGCATGGAGGCCAACAGGTTGAGCCTCGAAAGGTCAAACGGCCAATTCGCCTGGGTGGCCTGAAAGCGTTCCGGAGCGGCCTTGGCGGTCTGTGGACGGGCCGCCTTCGCAACTGGACGCCCTGCGATTTTGGGGCGAGACGCATTCGCGGCCTCCAGGCGTGCCAGCTCGGCTAGCTGTGGGCGAGTCCAGATCGTTGCAGAGTTGACTGAATATCTCTGGCAGCACATGCTGGGAACACTGGAGCTCCTTAGAAAAGGCCTTACGAAATGAAGGGTGCTGATGCCTGGCACAGCGCGCGCAAAGACTGCGAATACCCCACTCGCCTACGAAGAAGCAGACCACTGCGGGGCCTGCAAGAGGAACTCGAGCGACGTTGGCAGGCCCTGCCAAAGTCAGAGCCAAGACAAATGGCTCTATGATTAAAGAAGTGGTAAGCAGGAAGCTGCAAATGCTGACATTCCATATCACAAGGCCAACGAGCATGGTGTCAAGAGACCTCGCTGCAAATGCCTTGCGATCTGTGCCCACCACGAAGGCAAACAAGACTAACCAAGATATTCCTTGAAAGATGCAAACGTAGGCAGAGATGCCGCGATCGAACACGCAAACGTCGTCCCAAAGAGAATAAGCAGGAAGCCACACCCAAATGCCACCAGCCTGCGAGACTACCGAAGCCAAATACCAATTGGTAACATTACCAAGCTTGCCGACTCGCTGCGCCGTTTCGCGCAAGTGCCTAGTGGAGAGACCTGTGCGAATCAGGCATTCCACGCTTTGGTCTACAGCGAGCTCTTGATATTGCTCCTGTAGTTGGCCGCGAATCAGTTCGCCGTCTTCAGGCACAGAACACTGTGCGTCACGTACGTGGCCCGTGTAGCCCAAGCACAGGTTCACCTTTTCTCGGGCGGCAACCACCGCCCATAAACGGTCGGCTTCCATACAAAGGCCAAACAAAAGGGCAAGCAGGGTGGCAACCCAGAACATTGGCTGCATGATGTCCGCTTGCAATATGAACCCAATGAGGATGCCAGCAGACAACACTGCTACGAAACAAGAACGGCGGCAAGCAGTGCTCGATGGCCTTTTGCGCTGGATGGTGTAGAATTGCTTGGCACCAACCAGTAACACCATGAGGAGGGCCCTGAATCGTGTCGCAAAGTGGTCGAAGGTGCAGAAGACAAGGAAAAGCCAGCACCCAGCGCCGATGCTTAGCCCTACTAAGCACACGCCCAAATGGGATACGACGCGACGCCAGAAATCATGAATTGGACTTGCCGCGCAGAAGATTTGCTTGTCCAATGTGTACGCCAAATACGCCTCGTACGTGCACCAGACCCTGCTATAGATACTCCCCCTGCGGTTGGACACGACCATCATGTCCGTTGCCGAACGTAACGCGTGGGCAAACGGAGAATCGCTTGGCTTCGACACGAGATGGCCAATATCAAGGTTCTGAGGATTGGACAGGAAGCATATGTACGCATTATTTTTCCCAGCAGGCCACGAGTTCAGGACCTTATCGATCAGCTCATACATTCCTTCCTGCCAGCTGTGAGTAATGAAGAGGTCGCACGCGAGGCCATCTGGGTGAAGCATCAGAGCCCAGCTAGGGTTCCCTGCGCGGGCAGTGACGGGTCTGATGTACTGATCGTTCACGGTGTGAACGCATGGTCCTATGACGTTCTCGATCGGATCGAACGGGTCTGCTTCCGTGGGCGTCACACGTCCATCCAAAACTGCCCGCCGCACCAATCTCCTGAATTGCTCCAGATCTGCCCGTGTGACGCACCACTTGTGCGGAGCGATGCTGTTATGCAACCGGGCCCCATCTAGCACGTTCGTCGGCTTCTCCACGTCCTCATCCTCTGCTGCTCTCTTGGTCGGCCTGTCGACATACCAACGGCGAAGCCGACCTCCTTCCATGCATGTTGCCCCCAGAGCAAATAATACTACAACCAGAAAGCAAGAACGCATCATATGCGTGCTGCTGTAATTCCCGCATACACCTCTATCAAACGTGAAACGGGCAGGACTGCGTGTACTGTATGGATCGCCTTCCGTGCAACATGTGAACAGGTGGTAACGTGGTGGAGAAACTCCGGTCGAAAGTTTGTCAATAACGCGCGAAACGCCCTTCTCGCACGAGCACGGCTGCGTTTCTGTTCCAGCCAAACAGTCTCTGGACATATCATGGCACCACTGCGTGTTGCAAGTGATGTTCACCTCGGTTGACGAAGACGCAGGTTGAAGCACAACGCAACAAAAGAAACACAAGTATGGGAATACAAGCATCCTCACTGCTTGCTTGCTTTTTTCTACCAATGGCAATAAGGACCGCTAAGTCAGAAAACGCGCAGCCGATGCGCGAACCTGAAAGGTTGCGCTTGCCACTGGGGCCCAATCCGATCCGAAACGTTTAAGCCAAAATGGCTTGAACCAACATGGCTACGGACTCCCTCTTGGACATCTCTTGGGAGCCCCTTGGCAGTCCTCTCGGGGGCCTCTCTCTCGGGAGCCTTTTGGGGGCGTCCTGGGGCCTCCTGGAAGGCCGTTAAGACCCTCAGGTGGTTTCTTGGCGGTCTCAGGGGGTTATCTTAGCCCAAAGGCGCCTTCGCTTTCCCCTTCGTGGGTCTCTCCTGGGCCGTTGTGGGAGCCTCTTGGGCAGTCTTGGCGGCCCTCTGAAGCTGTCTCGGAGCACCCTCTTGAATGATTTGGAAACCGCTTGGGCCGCCCCAGGCGGTCGGAACCCAGAATAGGTGAGACCATCATTTAACCGAACCCCCAGGATAAGAAAGGGCCCCCCCCCTTCCCACCTGAGAGTTTAGTATCCCTGGCCAATGCAGATTCGGTCGGGGGAGAGGGGCGGCAGGGCCGAACTTCATTATAGCAAAGGGAAATTGCGAATCGAAGTTGCCATCTTCTTATGTTGACGGGTCAGGAACGCGCTGCAGGGCCAAGGTAACCGATTGGATTTGAAGTTAACATGCGTTTTTCGAGCAGGCAGAGCACACACACAACTCACGCGCTTCGTGGCCCCATACGGAGCTCCACCGAAGGCCCGAGTGGCGGTGCCCGCATGTGTCCGCGCTCCTCCTGGGCCCCAGTTTAGCACACCCATCACGCAGTTCGTGGCCCCAAAGGGCCACCCCTGCGGGGTCCCGTGGTGGTGTCCTGGCCCTCAGGGCGAGCGCACTCTCATGGGCCAATCGTTGCTGTTGTTGCCCCGGGGGGGGAGCAACGCGCAACACCTCTGTCATACGCTTACGTAAATCTAAATGCGTTCCCGAATCTACGTAAACTCCATTACTGTTATCCACACACACTCCTGTGTGCGAACAGCGTGCGCGCGCCGGCGAAGCAAGCTCCAACTCCTCTATCAAAGTCCTGTTGGGTCCCTACGAACCCAAAACAAACCATACGAATACTACGGGGATCGATTCCGTAATCAGAATTTACAAGAAGGATTCCTTAAAAAGGACTTCAAATAATAAGAATTCCTTAAGAATGACTTCTGATATGGTTTCCTTATTCCGGATTCCGTGAGAATGATTGCTCGCTGAGAATTCCTTAGTAATGATGCCATAATAAGGAATTATTGAAAAGGATTTCTTCGTTAAAATGCCTCATGAGGATTCCTTGGTAAGGATTCCACAATAAATTCCATAATGCGGATCCTTATGTAAAAACCTGCACTAAGAAATTCTAGATAAGGATTCCTCAGTGAGGACTCCGTTGTCAAAATTCCCAAATCATGTCCTTCTTAAGGATTCCTTCGTAAGGATCCCTCAGGGAGGATTCCTGAATACAGATCTCTGAATCAAGATTCCTTAAGCAGGGCCTTAATAAGGATTCCTTCTTACATATTCCATAACTATGGTTCTCTACTAAAGATGACTTAACCAGGATGCCGTACTTAGAATCCCTTAGTGAGGATTACGTCGTACACATTCTTACAGCATGTCCTTACAAAAGGATCCCTTGGTAGGGCATCCTTAATAAAAAGGCTCCTTCATGAGGCTTCCTTAAGAAGGATTATGTACTAAGGATTCCTTGGTAAGGACTCTTTAGTAAGAACGCCATTGTGATGATTCCTTACGAGGGATTGCTGCATAAGAATTCTGGATTCGCGATTATTTAGTCAGGGTTCCGTACTAAAGATCTCTGAATAAGGATTCCTTAAGCAAGTTTCTTTACTAAGGTTTCCTTACTAAAGATTCCGTTGCAAGGATTCCTTGCTAAGAATTCCTTACGCTGAGTTCCTTAGTTAAAATTCCTTAGCGAGGATTCCGTCGTAACTATTATTAAGGAGTGCCCTTAACAAGGATTCCTTGGTAAGGTTCCCCCAAAAAGGATTCCTTAATAAAAGTTTCTTAATAAGGATTCCTGAATAACGACTCCTCAGTGAGGATCCTGTACAAAGGATTCCTGAGTAAGGACTCATTAGTAAGGATTCCTGAGTAAGAGCTCCATAGTCATGGTTCCTTACGAAAGATTGCTTCATAAGGATTCCGTTTGGGGGTCTCTTCATCCAGGATTTCTATACACATAATTTCTGAATAATCATTCCTTACTACGGAGTCCTTCGTAAGGATCCCTTAAGAAGAATTCCGTTGCAAAGATTCTTTACTGCGGGCTCCCACCAAAGATAGGTCCTCAATCCGGATTCCGTAGTAAGGTTTCCTTGAACGGACTCCTTAGCACATTGTCCTTAACACGGACTCCTTCATAAGGAATCACTAATCCATATTTTGCAATAGAGGACTCCTTACTCGGACTTCCTCAGTAATATCTTCATATTGAAGACTCCTCACAAAAGATTGCTTGATAAGGACTCCGTTTTTATAACAAAAATTGTAATAAGGATTCCTAAATCAGGATTCTGCATTAAAAAGATTTCTTGGTACTGACTCCTGAATGACAACTCCTTCAAACAACTCCCTAATCCTCATTCCTGAATACACACTCAATGAACATATCCTTCATAACAATTCCATGGCCAGGATTCCTTACCAGTGATTCCTTGATAAACATTCCATAAAGAAGATTCCTTACTGAAGGGTCGTGCATAAGTATGCCTCAGTAAAGATTCCTTACTCAATATTCCTTTGGCGAGATCCCTTAATACATATTCATGAATGCATATTCTTTACTACGTATTCCTAAAATAAAAGCTCCTTCGTAAAGATTCCTTTTATCCATATTCCTTAGTAAAGGATGTCTAATCAAGGTTCCGTAATCCAGATTCATTAATCCAGATTCCTGAACAGAGCTTCCTGAAACAATATTCCTTTCTAAAGATTCCTTAAAACAGACTCCTTACCAAAGACTCCATGGTAAGCCGACTGGACCCGCGACCTTCGGTGGAACCCCCTGTGGACTTGACCCGACACCTTCGGTGGAGCTCACTGGGGCCACGAAACGTGTGAGGGGTGTGCCGAAATGGGCCCGAAGCCTTCGATTGAGCCCCCTGTGGGGCCACGAAACGTTTGAGGGGCGCGCCAGAATTGACCCGAATCCTTCGGTGAAGCCCACCGGGGCCATGAAGCGTGTGAGGGGTGCGCCGAACTGGACCCAAGGCCTTCGGTGGAGCCCCGTTGTGGGGCCACGAAGCGTGTGAAGGGTGTGCCGAAATTGGCCCGAGACTTCGGTGAAGCCCATGGGGGCCACGAAGCGCGGGAGGGGTGTGCCGACATTGGCCAGAAACCTTCGGTGAAACCCACTGGGGCCAGGAAACGTGTGAGGGGTGTGCCCCGAAACCATTGCTGAAACCTACTGTGGCCACGAAACGTATGAGGGGTGTGCCGAACAGGAGGGGTGTGACGAAGTGGACCCGAGGCCTTCGGTGGAGCCCCCTGTGGAACCACGAATCGTGTGAGGGGTGTGCCGAAATTGAACCAAAACCTTAGGTGGAGCCCAATGGGGCCACGAAACGTGTGAGGGGTGCGCCGAACTAGACCGAAGGCCTTCCTTGGAACTCCCTTGTGGGGCCACGAAGCGTGCGAGGGGTGTACCGACAGTCGCCCGAAACCTTCGGTGAAGCCCACTGGGGCCACGAAGCGCGGGAGGGGTGTGCCGACATTTGCCAGAAACCTTCGGTGAAACCCACTGGGGCCACGAAACGTATGAGGGGTATGCCGAACAGGACCCGAGGCCTTCGGCGGAGCCCATGTGGGGCCACGAAGCATGTGAGAGGCGTGCCGAAATTAAACCAAAACCTTAGGTGGAGCCCACTGGAGCCACGAAGCGTGTGAGAGGTGGACCGAAATGGGCCCGAAGCCGTCGGTGGAGCCCACTGGGGCCACGAAGCGTGTGAGGGGTGTGCCGAAATTGACCCGAAACCTTCGGTGAAACCCACTGGGGCCACGAAGCGCGGGAGGGGTGTGCCGAACTGGACCCGAGGCTTGCGGTGGAGCCCCCTGTGGACTTGACCCGAAACTGTCGGTGGAGCTCACTGGGGCGACGAAACGTCTGAGGGGTGTGCCGAAATGGGCCCGGAACCTTCGTCGGAACACCCTGTGGGGCCACGAAACGTGTGAGGGGCGTGCCGAAATTGTCCCGAATCCTTCGGTGAAACCCACTGGGGCCACGAAACGTGTGAGGGGTGCGCCGAACTGGACCCGAGGCCTTCGGTGGAGCCCCCTTGTGGGGCCACACAGCGTGTGAGGGGTGTGCCGAACGTCCCCTGGAACCTTCGGTGAAGCCCACTGGGGCCACGAAACGTGTGAGGGTGCCGAAATTGGCTCGAAACCTTCGGTGAAACCTACTGGGGCCACGAAGCGTGTGAAGGGTGTGCCGAACTGGATCCGAGGCCCTCGGCTGAGCCCCCAGTGGGGCCACGGACTGCGAAATTGGCCCGAAACGAAACCTTCGGCCTGTATGGGACCCCACACAGATCCCGTACGCCCTGTATGGGATCCGATACAGATCCCATGCGGCCTCGCAAGGGCCCCCCGAGCAACGCCACAGGGGCCCTGCGGGGCCCCCGCAGGGGCTCGGCGAGGCCCCGTGGCGTTGCTCGAGGGAGAGGCCCTGCAGGGCCCCTACGTTGCCCCTGGTGTTGCTCAGAGGGGGTGTCGAGCAACAGGCCCCCAGTAGTGCCCTCTCGAACATCAGTAACAACAACAACAGCAACAACAACAACAATCATTTAAGACTGGGGACACTCCGTTCTCACCAGTGCCAGGGTTTTCATAGGAGGCGGGCAATACCCCCACTTTGTGGGGGGGCCGGTTCAAGCTCTACCAAGTTTCCAAACGACTCTTCGCCACCACCCACACCCAGCTTCCCGCCCTATGACGTTCGGACACTTCACTTCGTGGCCTGCGGACGACCTTGGCTACTACACTGGCGCATGGGTACAGTGACTTGTTGTGGTAACATTTTGTGGAAGCTAGCTTAGTATACGACTTTTCCCCCTGTTCCAACACTGGACACCTGTACCGTTTTC